CCCCCCACCACTCTCTTTAAAAACACTACACCTCAACACATAACCCCCTCCGCCGTTCCCCTGAAACTGCATTTTACTTTCTCGCATATACGAAGTATAGAGAAAGTCTTGTAATCGTTTTACACCTCACTGATACGGAAAAACATAATTTTGCAATCTTGTCCGTATGTCTGTGTCTGTGTGTGTCTGTGTGTAAACACGATTACTTGAGTACCGTTACAGCTAGGTTGATGAAATTTCATATATAAGTATTTTATCAAAATCATAGATCCGTATAAACTTTTGAGTGATTTCCGATAACCGAAAGTGGTACTTTTTCTACTTTGAATTTTTCAAAAGCCTATAACTTGAGTACTATTGCAGATAGATAAATGAAATTTCACATGTAAGTAAAAGATCTAATTCTCTACCTTCTGTCAAATTTTGAGTAATTTCCGTTGACAGGAAGTACTAATTTACGCTATTTCCGATTTCTCAAAAAACGCACGTAAATTTATAAAGTACTAATAATGTTGCGCACTATTATGCACATCTTTATTTGACGTTTCACTTGGTGTGCAATTCTTTTTTCTACGAGGTTTTATTCTATTTTAAAAAGTTTAAGTATTTAAAATGGATTAAAAATCATGTCTATATCCCGAGTTGCCATTCCCCGTAGTGTTATATTAGAATATTCGAGAAAGTTTAGGGGAGATCACTCCCGGTTTATTATAATATGTACTGACCTCGATAAACATTGAGTTAATAAATGAATTAATACCAAAAGCAATCTTTTAAAGCCCGAAATAACGGATGAAAGCAAAAATGTGTCGTCACACTTTCCGATCATCCCTTCCCATAAATGAAAAAAAAAGCCTGAACATACTAAAGGAGAGTATGGATGTTGATGGAGGATCCCAACGTTAAAAATTAAAGCAGCGCAAAATTTCAGGAATCCACGTAACATATTATTATTTTTCCGTAGGTATAACAAAGGTATTTACATTGTGTTTTATATTTTACGAGCCGCTATCATACGCCGCTATTTAGTTGTTTCATTTTCTACTTTTCAGTAATTCATAATTTGTGAATTTGACAGTAACAATGCTGCCACTGAAAATATTTGCTTTAAAACACTATCAGTAGCTCGTTAAGGACGATAACCCCCCCCTCCCCACCCTCCTTTCCAAAAATCCTACCCCCCCCCCTCCTCGTGAAAGCAGCCCCCTCTGAGTTACCTCCACTAAGTTTAAAATCGTTTCAAACTAAATTATCTGCCCCTAATAGCTGTCACTAAACCCGGCTCTACGATTGTAAAACATTTAGCTTGAACCACAGCTCACCAGACCATGTAGGGATGGGGGTGGTAGCGATAGAGAGAAAGAGAGGGGGCTGCTAGGGGCGCTTACAGCTTGGTGTTTTCTATGGTATCCATGAAGAGAATTATTTATATAGAAGAAATATATATTAAACCAGCGTACCCGTTCCGCGCGTTGCTGCAGTCTCAGAAGACAGATTGACGCAATATTTTAAGAGGATTCCATAATTACATTTGCAATCACGTATTTTTTTACGCTTGACATTGATTTCTAAATCTAAACAATTTAAATGTAATCAAAGCCGGTGTTATATTGCTTTCATCATAGTTGTTGAGGCGCAAATTCTACCGCACACAGTAGCCCATTGTATCCATAATGTATCGCACTCTTTAAAACGAACGTAGGCGCAATAGTGTTTATGAGGGACCCACACAGGGGCGCTAGACCACACGCCAGTGGTGCAGTAGACAAAAAATTTCCCTACTGTAGGGCGCTCTTTTAAAACTCATAGTGTTCCTCCCGAAGCCAGTGGCGCATCGGGTCAAACGAATTGTCATCGAATGTCGTGTGCCACAGGGTCAATATTGTAGAGTGCTCTTTAACACAACCTTAGGATATCTCAGGGCGCCAAATCGCTTCCTGCCGGGGCGCCGGCAGACGCGCCTGATTCCATATAGTCAAAAATTATTGTTACTAATGTTACCCATCGTGTCTTTAGTGTATAAATTAAAAAAAAAAAAAAAAACGAACGTAGGCGTCATAGTGCTCACATGGTAGCACGGGGCGCTTCGGGTTACGTAATATCCGGGGCGCCGGCGGCTGCGCCTGTTGTTGCTTTTTTACCTTAGCCCCCATGCAGTTTTAATATCGCCGCCCTGGATTTTCAGGCGCCAAGCCGTTTATTAACAAAAATCGCACCCTCCAGGGAAACGCCCATAATAAATTAAAATTTTTGTTTTCGCAGAAACCTTCTCGTGAGTGTTTTCATTAACTCTCAAAAGTTTAACGGCACTCAGATAAACGATGTCAAACAGCATCCGTTTTGTTTTTTACAAACTGTATAGAGAAAAATTGCACCCTCCAGAAGCGCCGCCCTGTTAAAATAAAAAAAAAATAACCTCCCCTGAAGTTTTATGGCGAGCGGATGAACGGGATTAAACCGCAATCTACTTTTACGTATATATACCCTATATAGGGATCTATATATAGAATCGATTCGCGCCCTGCTGGGGCACCGTGCTTGTGAAATATATCCAGTGGTATTCTTAACTTAAGTTGCATGGCCATAGGATGAAAGATGTAGTGCTGCATAGAGGACATAAACAAACCCACAAACAAACAAGCAAAACTTCATTATATATATACATAGAGAGAAATATAAATAATTCTACATATGCATATATATATATATATATATATATATATATATATATATATATATATATATATATATATATATATATATATATATATATATATATATATATATATATATATATATATATAGCTACATTTGGTGACTTCCCATTTTCCCCAATGGCGTCAAATTTTGCACATAATCCACCTATTAATTCATGTGAAAAAAAGCATCGTTTTCATCGTAAATTATTAGATTTTGGTATCAGCCTCTCTCCGGTCGTCGCTTAGCAAATCTGTTATCCAAAAATTCAACAAGCATGTATTCACCTGTACATTTTGCAGTTTGTGTCATCTCCCCTCACCCCCCCCCCCCCCCCCCACTGAATGATAGTTTTTAAACGTGCACAGTTAATTGTATATTTTTTATCTGCAGTCAGTTATTAGTACAGTTAACTCTCATTAGTCATTTATTGAACTGGCAAAATGCTTACTTCTTCTATATATTTTGCTATTTTTCGCCATGGTGTCACCCCCGAAATTTTGACACCTTGCGCAGTCCTCAGCCCCGCCCCCCCCCCCCAACCTTGTGAAGCCTCTGGTTAGGGGTACTACTTGAGTACAGTAAATATGTATATGTATATATATATATATATATATATATATATATATATATATATATATATATATATATATATATATATATATATATCGGGGGTGGGGTATAGCCCCTTGGCACATCTTGTACCTACGCCACTACATAATCATGTTCTTAAGATTATATAGCACATTCTATGTATAAATTCGATAAAAATAGCTATTACGTATTCTGCAATTTTATATTTGTAATAACATATTGTAAACGAAATGAGTCTTAAATTCGATTAAAAAATGGGCCTTTATATTATGTATTTTTTCTATTTTGCAATCATATCATGTATTACTTGTTGTATAGCCTAGATTCTATAATAATATACTAATATATTCTATATTACATAATCCTATATTATATCGTTTAGTAATCTCTACCCTAATGTTTTCTATACCGAATAATCAATATTCTGTAATTCAAAATTGTGTATAAATTAATCATACAATCTCTAAAATTAATCATAACTATGATCACAATTAAATTCAGCAATCCACTGTATTAATTTATATTGCTAAAAATAATTTAATTTTCAATTTTAAAGACAGAAGATACATTTTTTATAATATTAATTATTATTAGCTCTGTAAAATGAATGGTTGTTTAATTTTTCTTATATTAAATATTTTAAGCGATTAATTAATCGAAATGGTTTTATTCCGTTAGCTAGTTTTTACAGTTTATAACTATTATTAGAGTCTCAACGACAGAATCAAATGAGAAAAAATCTATAGCGTTATTATATACCGACACTGTTGATAAGCCACTCAACGACAGTGTCGTTGAGAATAGTGTAGGATCGGCTGAAATGGCTATAAAATATTAAAGAGATAGTAGGTAAATAGCAAGTTAAAACATGGAGATGCTCTTGTTATAGGGTGCCGTGATCTGGCATCAGAGAACAGGCTACCTACACAAAATTTCATGTTTTATTGTGAGTCTAGTCAACAAAACTTACTGGAGAATAGTTACTAATTCGAATATAGGCCTATGTAGAGTTATGTCATTCTATACAATACACTCAAAGAGAGAGAGTCATATCCAAATTATTAACCCGCCCCCCCCCCCTCCCCCCCCCTCCCCGGGAGCTACAGATGACCCCCTTACTCCATTAAGTATATATGTTTTACATCATGATAATTTAATTTAATAAATATAACATTTTATACTAAGTCATAGACTATAGGCCTAGATATTAGTACTACTGTTGGTAGCCGTGAAGTTCATCATCATGAAGTGTCGGTTCTCCAAGACTACCATACTAGAGAGGCCTACAGGCTCCTATTATAAATCTAAATTTAGAAATAGGCCTATGTTTATAAAGTTTTAACTTTAGGAATCACCAGATCTAGATCTATAATAATATGTAGACCAATTATTTTTTTAAAATGCTACAAATTGTTTGAGAGTCAAAAAAAAGCCTCTGACAAAACGGCCAGACAAAATAGCCCGGTGAAATTGAAATTCACGTTGAAACAAATCATAGAAATAAGGGGGTGTTTTTAGACTCAAGATCTAGAATCTAGATGTATTACTATTGTATTATTATTCAGATCTGGTCTACATCTTGGCACCTAGATCTAGTTCTATATCTTTTCTTTATTTAGGTCTAAACAAGCTTTTTTTTTTTTTAATTCTTTTCTTAATGGAATTCCCCTTTTTATGTGTCTTGAACTTCCCGTTTAATATTTTAAATTGTCTGGTTTCCCATATAAACAATCCTTGCGTGTTATGAAAAAAACGGTTTCAGTTTCACTGTGGATTTCCCTTTTTCGATTCGTATAATAATTGGAAACCACTAAAACTAAAATGAGTAAATCATTTACCTCAAGATCTGTATATCAGACTCAAACAAGAGGTAGAGGCACCAATTCAAGAGGAAGAGGAACCCATCCGATACAACCACAGCAAGTTGGAATTCGACCCGCTGCTAGTACTACGAGTACTACTAGAACTACGCCTATCCCAGCAACGGCAGCTAGCAGTAGTAGATCAAGTACAAGTAATATGAACCACGGTTACAACAACAGTATAGGCGCTGGGGCCAGAAGAACAAATTTAAATTTTGGAGAAGGTACAGACTTAGTCTAACACTCTTAGAGTCTCTAAAAGTACTAGTACTTACTAGTTTACTAGTCTAGTTGTTAAGTGCAATACTAGAATAAGTAGTTAGGGCCTAAATCTACTTACTCTGTAACTACTTTGTACTTGTAACTTAATAATTTATATAATTTTTCTCATACCAGTTTAACTGAATTTTACTATACTGTGAGAATCTTCTGGAGTCTGAGTGCTTAACTCTTGGTAAAATCTTTAAATGGCATTTATTTAAAATGCCAGATTCGAAATGGCTAGATCTTGATTCAGACTAGATCTAGATCTAGATTATTCTAGATCTAGTTGGTAAAAGTGAGATGGTCCTTTTTTATGGGTGTGAAAACTGTTGATCCTGAAAACTGCTGGTCATGAGGCATTTTGTCTTATATCTTACCCCACCTGATTGGTATTAGTAAGTATGAAGTGTTTAGGTAAAAACCAAAGATGATTGCAAAAATATTATATTAAATAGGGGCCTAATTATATTATTATATTTATTAGGCATAGTAAAAAATCAGTTTTTTTTTAGGTTTGCCACCAAGGCAACAGAATGACTATGACGCTGGTGAGGAATACAACCAGGCAAGAGGGATAAATCATGTACCAACTGCTCAAGGGGACACAAGTCAAGGCCAATAGTAAACTAACATTAGCCTTTTTAAAAAAAGTACTTTTTAATTAGAAAATGTGTCTTTGTAAAACTTTAATTACTAGTAGGCTTTGCACAAAACTTTTTTTTAACAATGTTACAGCATGGGCCTATAATCTGTTATTTAAATTTTAAATAAAAAAGCATCATTTAAATCCATAAATCTAGAATTACTTTTGATTTCATCTTACTAAAAATATTCTATATGCAGCTCTGGTGCTTACACTGTTTATACACCAAATGAACATAAACGTGAAAAAGTTCGAGCAAGTAAGCTCTGTTTGTTCTCTATACTTTATTAAAATATTAAATTTTTTGTTAGACATTTGTGTTGAGGAAATTATCTATTTTGGTCCACCTTGCTAAAGGGTTTTTTTTTAATTTATAATTTTCAAGTCTATTGTAGTTTCTGTTCATTATTGAAAACATTTTGTTTACATTTTAATTTTATGAACTTTTTTTTATAAAATGACAATGCTTTTTTCCACCCATTGTCACTTAAAGCCACACCCCCCCCCTCCTCTTCCCCCCCCCCCCCCCCCCTCCTAAAACGACATCAGACTTTAGGTAAAATTCAGTTTCTATAATATTAGTTTTTTAAAATTCAAAAGTGTGACATCACACTATCTGAATCCCATCATCACAAAATTAGAACCCTACCCCCTAGGAGTGTGATGTGATTTATATGCGACCCCTAATTACATTAATTGAAAAGAACACAGCTTTCATTTTGTCACTTTTAAATTTTGGCATTCAGTCAATGGCTATGTAAAAAATCATTGTTTGTTCTGTTAATATGTTAAATATAATAGGCCTACATTATATTTACAACACCTACATTTAAAAGCTGTTGTTATATAATATTTGAATGAATCCATTAAATGAAGTTTAAAAAAAAACAGATTTACAACTGCAGATTTGGCCTACTTATTTCAGTGGCTCAGAGAGAAACCCAAGCATATGAAGAGTATAAAAGAGCCAATGCAGCGAAAACATACAATTATGTTGGGACCGTGGGTAATACATTTATCCTGATTAAAAAGTGTACATGAAAAGAATTGCACAATGTACTTTTCTTTTGCTATGGAGGTGTAGAGCAATTTCCTAACATCAAGTTTTGATTTATTTCATGTTAAGATTTGATAAAATCTTGTGGTTTTTTTTTTTTAAAACGTATTTGTGGGATTCTTCAAGGCAGATTCTTACTTAAGTTATTTTCATCAATTCAAATAAGGTGGTGGGGAAATAGATGAAGAGCAAGCAAGGAGGACGCAGGCAAATGATGTCAGGTTACAAAAATTCAACAGGCTTGTAAGTAGATTTTAGCTCAAGTGATAAATAAAAGGATTAGTTAAACCCAGGATTTTAGCTCAAGTGACAAATAAAAGGATTAGTTAAACCCAAGATTTTAGCTCAAGTGATAAATAAAAGGATTAGTTAAACCTAAGATTTTAGCTCAAGTGATAAATAAAAGGATTGGTTAAACCCAGGATAGGCGACATAGCTTTTGTCTGTTTCATAACCACACTAAATTGTTGTGTAACTAGAACAGTGTCCATCCACTTTTACTGATTCCAGTTGATGTTAGTTGCATCTTGTAACTTGGTAGACTCATATATTGAGGATCAAAGTCCCCATACTGACTGATGATCAGTTTGTGTGTCAAAAAAAAATGTATGATTAAAATATCAAAAGAAATAAACACAATAAATGATAATGCTACCTTAGGTCTTCTTGTAGTAAACTGCATTACACAAACTTCAATTAAGTGGCACTAAAAATCATTTTTTTTTATAGAGAAAAAAATTTACTGTTTGTGCACATTACAAATGTATTTTATTAAAAGAGTGTAACAAATTGGTCATAAAAAATTTTATCCTGAAATAATTAAAATACGAATTTTTTTATTTGTTTTTTTTTTTTATAAATCAGCAACGTCAACAAGATTTAAGAGCTGAAAGAAAGAGAGCTGAGGAAAAAGAAATTGAAGCCAAACGTGCTGAAGCCAGAAGAAAGGTAACACCCACTTATGTGTTTATTTCTGGAGGGAAGGCTACGACCTTGTGATTGTAATTTTTTTAAACACATTAAAAATAAAATGAAATTTACCCCATAAATGACGTCACACTCACAGGGGGGAGCGGGTCTGTAATTTTTTGACGGTGTGTGATGAGGGAGAGGGGGGGGTTCAGATGGTGCGACGTCACACTTTTGCATTATAAAAAACCAATGTTAGAAAACTGTTTTAATAAATTGCAATAGGAAATGATTAAAATACTCTATTTTGACAGAGTTCAGAAAAGATTTTGGAAAAATATTGATGTTTTAAGAAAAATTCAACTGCAATTTTGAGGGGCTGTGTAGGCTGAGGTGTGACGTTATTTTAGAGGGGGGGGGGGGTCTGGCTTTTTTTGTGATGATGTGTGACAGAGGGGAGGGGGGGAGGTAAAAATTGTCAAAAAAGCGTGACGTCATTTATGGATGACCCCATATGCACATTTGAGGCTTTTTAATACCAATGTATTCGGATGGCGTGGTCAAATGGCGTTTGGATTTTAGCCCAAAGGTCTCGAGTTTGGATCTGGGTTTTGACTTGTGACTGTAGGATGTCCCTGAGTTCACCCAGCTCTAATAGGTACCTAACATATGTTGTGAGTGTAAAGGCGAATGGGCATAGTGCTAACCACCATATCTCATATATGCTGAGGTCAAGAAATATGAACTCTACTTCATCTGCCCAATGGATCACTAGGTCTTAAGAGGAATCTTTACTTTTATTTTAATACCAATGTGGATCAAAACAAGCAAAAATAAAATCTGTTTCTTCTTTTCTAGGCTGAGCAAAATGAGTTAAGACTACAGGAAAGAGTTGCCCCTCCTGAAGAGCTACGAAGGCAAGTAGTGATAAATATTGTCCTTGTATGTTGTTTATTATGTTAAAAAAGAAGTCTTTAAAATGTATCAGTTAACACAGACTCATGAAACAATTAATATTTTATAGATATTTTTTTTTCTTCAGTCTGCTTAAGTTGGGTTGTTCTGTTAGTGAATGGAAGGGGACCAAAATAATCTAAACACATGCCTGCATTACTAAAATTTAGTATTACTAAAATTGTTTTCATAACTTTTCTTTATAAATTGATTTCATACTTTTGTTTACATTTTGTTCTTACAGACAGCGAGAGGCATTCCTGAATAAGTTAGAAAAGAAGTCACCGTAGATTTTCTTTAAGTCGTTGGTTGGTATTGATCTCACAGATATTAAATGAAAACAACTTGTGATTTTTATAAATATGCCTTGGGCATGTTTGTTAAGTATGGGCCAGACATAGAAGAAAATATTTTATATAAATGATTTATTCTTAAGTTGTAACATTTTTATACTTAGTTTACTCTACCTATTGGTAACTTTAATAGTTTATACATAGATTTTCAATCAATTACATGTTCTGTTGAAAAACAATTAATTAAACATCTCCTTTTTTTTTGTACATAGTTTTTATTTCAAAGATACTTATTAATTTAACCTCAAAGATTGAAGGTAATCTGATTTTTTTCAATTGGGGAGGGTTTGACATTTCATTATGTTTTGAATATATTATATGCCATTACAATGAGGCTGAGTAAATATTTGTATGAATAATTATTAGCAAAAACTAATGTGCTTAATACTTTCATGTTAATTCTTTAAAAAGCATTTACAAGTTACTATTGTATAAATATTACATATTCATTTAAATATTTATTCAATTGCTGAATTGTAAAGACACACTTATCTATTTAGGGGTCATCCATTTATGACTTTCACACAGAGAGGGCGGAAGGGGGAGAGATACACATATAAATGTATAAATTAAAACTTCAGTGCTTGTAATTTCTTTTTATTGATGCTATGTTTTGGGATGGTCTAGGGAGAGAAAAATATTTTTTAATGATAAGCCGATTTTTGTTCTCAACACATTGTAGATTTTACTTTTAAAATTTAGGCTAAATATAAGAAACTGGCAAAAATAATAATCATTATTCCATTAAATAGGTATATTTTATGTTGTGGGAGGTCTACTTAAGTTTTTAACGTCTACATTATGAGAGGGGGAATAAAATCAAATTTTTTATTGTCATAAAAGGATGAACCCTAACAGAAAATAAACTGTATGCTCGTTAAATACCACTATATTTACAGCTCCTTGATCAATTAAAAAAAAATATGCAATAATAAATTATATGTATTTGTTGACTGTACATTTATTTATTGTATGATTTGATATTTGATAAAAATTTATGTGGTTTGATTTTGATAAAAATTTGTTCATAGACTTGAAAAGTTCGTTTAGTTCAAGTTCAAAGATGTTCTTTATTTAATTATATTGTTGATCTGTTATGATAGATAAATAAATCTCATTCCCTCTACATTTTTTAAGATTGCCTTGTCAAGATTTTTTTTTACTTCACATAAAGTATATTCTTTTATACAATTATTCCACCTTCTAAAAACTGTAAATGTCTTAATTCCATTGCATTATTCTTTGAAAATTTATTTAAAAATTAATTTGATAAACTTAAGCAAACATAACTTTAGTTCGTATTAGTATTTTAAATATCCCCATAAAGCAATAGATTGACACCGCTTGATTTAATGCTAAAATTATCATTAAAAATGTGTGAAGGGACAGAACCAAGTACTGCAGTGGTGTGTATTTAGCTAAGCACACCTTTTGGTAAATTGGAGTACGATTATCCATTAGTTGCATATTTATTTTTTAATAGTATAGTTTGCATAATATAATAAACTAATTAAAACCAACAGCTTATTATATCAAAATCAAAGTATTTGTCCATACATGACATTATATGTTTCCTTTCTTGTAAGTTAAAATTAATTCAAATAACACTCAAAGGCTCAAGACAATTATAAACACAGAATTAAAAAAAAACAAATGTTCAATCATAAGATGTTTATTATTTTCAGACAAAAGCACCTATTGATGGTCATAAAAGTATTTTGTTTCATTTTAGACATGAGCAGTGTTCAATAAATAAATCAAGGATTAAAACAGATTAGTTATTTCAGAACAAAAAATTTTAAAAAGCTAGTTTTTTAAGTTGACAAGATCAGGTGTTGATGTGAAGAAATTAAAAGTTGAGTGATTCAATTCTCCAAAATTGCTGCCCATTTATATGGCAAGAAAAGGAAAAATATTTAAGACAATAATTGCAGCAATGGCTAAAATATCACATGTTAACAAGTATTTGGTGGGTGAAAATGCTTAAATAATATAAAAATAAATCTACTCATACAAGAATGATGTAATAGTTAAGATTTAAAGTACTTTAATAATCATTCAAAGATTTATTCAAGCCAAATTGAAAATCAATCTCTTTTCATGTAATTAATAAAAGGAGACAAATATTTCAACTTTAAAATATATAATTTTAGGAAACTTAAAAATAGTTTTCAAAGCTGAAAGTTGCAATGTCAACTTAATATAAAATGTTTAGCAGAGTTTTGAAAAAAAAAACAGTTAAAATTATTTTTTAAAAACCTTAGTTAACCCTTAAAGCACGCGCCACGTGGCCTTACGCATTATAAGTTATGTAACAACAAAGCCACATCGTGGCTTGGCACAATTTAAGGGTTAAGAATTTTACTTTCCTGCACAGGTTTTTAAAAATTGTTTCAGTTATTCAGCAATAGAAATAATATTTTTGTTTTCTCATCATAAATTTAGAAATGAAATAAATATTTTGACAATAGTGATAGGACCCTGATGGCTGACTACATACAGATGAGGTGACTTAATTCATTATAGACCAAAGATATGTACAGTACATTTTATTTACAAATTAAATCATTGTCTTCAAAAAATGAATGTAACAGGAAATCAACTTTTTCTAGTTATAATTTATAATATCAGCTATCACTCACTAATATTTTTATTTAATTGATAAATTCATATTCAAAACCTAAATTATATCCTTGTAAATATGATTATGCAATAATTAATTGATTTCTACTATTAAAACTGATTTTCTGTTGTTGAAATCATTCAATGTAGAACAATCATACTTTTAAAAATACATCTGTTAGAATTCAGAAATAAAATTTTGTTACAACCTTATACCAGTATTTCAAGCAAGAGAAACCAAAAGATTACCCCTGTCAATACCATGATAACATTACATGATATTTACATTTTAAAAAAATAAATCCACCATAAATATTCAAATTTACAACAAGTGATGGATTTAAAAATTTTAACTTCTAAATTTAAACAGGATGTTAAATAATTATTAGTAAAATTTGGTTCCTTTTTATCATAATTCAATCAAATCTGGGCTTGCAGTTGAAAAATTATTGGTAGAATTTTGCTCTCTTTGATCGTAGTTCACTCAAATTTGGACGCATCGCTGGGAAAACAAGGTGTGTTTTAATACATGGTAATTATTTTACTGGAAAGCTTAACTTTTATATCATTAAAGCTAGTTATTCATTCATTACACTTTTTGCATGGTAAAATGGCATTTCAAAAAAAACAAAAAAATGACCCACTTAAGTTGAGAGAAAAAAAAAGGATCCACTAGAGTTGAGAGACACAATGATCCACTAGAGCTGAGAGACAATAAGACCCACTAGAGTTGAGACAAAGTGACCCACTAGAGCTGAGACAAAGTGAATCACTAAAGCTGAGAGACAATATGACCCACTAGAGTTGAGACAAAGTGACCCACTAGAGCTGAGACAAAGTGACCCACTAGAGCTGAGAGACAATATGACCCACTAGAGCTGAGAGGCAATATGACCCACTAGAGCTGAGAGACAAAGTGACCCATTAGAGCTGAGAGACAAAATGACCCACTAGAGCTGAGACAATATGATCCACTAGAGCTGAGACAATATGACCCACTAGAGCTGAGAGACAATATGACCCACTAGAGCTGAGAGACAATATGACCCACTAGAGCTGAGAGACAAAATGACCCACTAGAGCTGAGACAATATGACCCACTAGAGCTGAGAGACAATATGACCCACTAGAGCTGAGAGACAATATGACCCACTAGAGCTGAGAGACAATATGACCCACTAGAGCTGAGAGACAATATGACCCACTAGAGCTGAGAGACAAAGTGACCCACTAGAGCTGAGACAAAGTGACCCACTAGAGCTGAGAGACAATATGACCCACTAGAGCTGAGAGACAATATGACCCACTAGAGCTGAGAGACAAAATGACCCACTAGAGCTGAGACAATATGACCCACTAGAGCTGAGAGACAATATGACCCACTAGAGCTGAGAGACAAAATGACCCACTAGAGTTGAGAGACACAATGATCCACTAGAGCTGAGAGACAATAAGACCCACTAGAGTTGAGACAAAGTGACCCACTAGAGCTGAGAGACAATATGACCCACTAGAGCTGAGAGACAATATGACCCACTAGAGCTGAGAGACAAAATGACCCACTAGAGCTGAGACAATATGACCCACTAGAGCTGAGAGACAATATGACCCACTAGAGCTGAGAGACAATATGACCCACTAGAGCTGAGAGACAATATGACCCACTAGAGCTGAGAGACAATATGACCCACTAGAGCTGAGAGACAAAGTGACCCACTAGAGCTGAGACAAAGTGACCCACTAGAGCTGAGAGACAATATGACCCACTAGAGCTGAGAGACAATATGACCCACTAGAGCTGAGAGACAAAATGACCCACTAGAGCTGAGACAATATGACCCACTAGAGCTGAGAGACAATATGACCCACTAGAGCTGAGAGACAATATGACCCACTAGAGCTGAGAGACAATATGACCCACTAGAGCTGAGAGACAATATGACCCACTAGAGCTGAGAGACAAAGTGACCCACTAGAGCTGAGACAAAGTGACCCACTAGAGCTGAGACAAAGTGACCCACTAGAGCTGAGAGACAATATGACCCACTAGAGCTGAGACAAAGTGACCCACTAGAGCTGAGAGGCAATATGACCCACTAGAGCTGAGAGGCAATATGACCCACTAGAGCTGAGAAACAAAATGACCAACTAGAGTTGAGACAAAGTGACCCACTAGAGTTGAGACAATGTGACCCACTAGAGCTGAGACAAAGTGACCCACTAGAGCTGAGACAAAGTGACCCACTAGAGCTGAGACAAAGTGACCCACTAGAGCTGAGACAAAGTGACCCACTAGAGTTGAGACAAAGTGACCCACTAGAGCTGAGACAAAGTGACCCATTAGACTTGAGAGCTGAGAGACAATATGACCCACTAGAGCTGAGAGACAATATGACCCACTAGAGCTGAGAGACAATATGACCCACTAGAGCTGAGAGACAAAGTGACCCACTACAGCTGAGAGTGAGAGACAATATGACCCACTAGAGCTGAGAGGCAATATGACCCACTAGAGCTGAGAGACAATATGACCCACTAGAGCTGAGAGACAAAGTGACCCACTACAGCTGAGAGTGAGAGACAAAATGACCCACTAGAGTTGAGAGACAATATGACCCACTAGAGCTGAGAGACAAACATGAAGGCAATGAGACAAGTCTCTCACCTTGATAGCTGTATGATGAGGAAGGATTAAAACTCTGTTTTAAGCTTTCGTTGATGGCCAAACTCAACTGTTCATCTTCATCTAGCCCTCCTACAAGAATTGTTAAAGAAAATAAAATCATTATGGCATTAAACTTACTGGCTACATAAGCACAAAGTTTCCTTTAAACCTGACGGTCCATATGACAGGTGAAGTGGAGTTCACCTGTTTGTGACCTTTGCTTACAAAGGGATAGTGTGGTTAGCACTATGCCCAGCCGCCTTTACTTTCCCTAACACAAGGGAGGTACCCATAAGAGCTGGGTAGACTCAGGGATGTTTTACAGACTTGAACTCAGATTCAAACTCAAGACTTACAAGTGAACATCATATGCTGTAACATTTGACCATGCAGTCCCATGCTTAACTTAAGCACATCATAGCAAAACTTATTACTGCATGGTACATTCTATTTTACATGATCAAATTTGATTTAATAAGACAAGCATGCTATGCTAGATGTTTATTATTTAAAACTTATAAGATTTTTTAAAATAAAAATTTATTATCTAAAAATTATAAGAAATGTTCCCTGACAGAAGTCAGGTACTATAATGTAATCAGACATCAGCAAGTACTTGTAAAATAATCTGCTTGGATACCTGTGTAAACTGCTGGATCCACCGAGTTATGCTGATTAGTATCAAGAGGCGGGGCGCTTGGTGTTGTCCGCTGGTGTGTGGAGTAAGGGGCAGACTGTGCTGTTGCTGTGTACGGCTGCCTAGCTGTGGAGGGGTGGGGTGCACTGCGGGAGGATGAGCCAGTGTCGTTGTTGTAGGACCTCTGGGGTGGGGGGCTAGTGGGACCATCTGGAAAGCTCAGGCCCTCAGTGGGGGTACCTGTAAAAAAAGGGCGTGGTTGGGACCTTGCTTGGGTACTTGGTCTGTAACCTGTACGTCCGCTAAACTGAAACCGTTGCCGTTGTTGATGTCTGCTTGAACCTGTGTCACTACTAAAGTGTCTGTTAGTCTGAATTCCTGTCAACAAGTAAAGTGTGGAACAATGTGGAATATGTTATGTATAATAACAACTTTTATTGCATTTTTCTTGTATTTTACTATCTCACAGAAGTAACTTATTTTACTAAGTAATATTTATATTCCGAACTAAAAAAAAATTAAAAATTGATTGATACGTTAAAAAAATAGACTTAAAAGTATTTACCAAATGGATAAAATATGTCCATTAAAAATTTTAATGGACCTTTTACATAAGCCAAGCCAACAAGTATACCAGCCAGATGACCTGAGGAAAAAGTGTACGATGAAGTAGCAGCAAAAACAGCCATTAATAAATTAATTGCGATAAAATTTCTAATCAACAAAACAAATGCTCTTAAAATCTTACCAACAAAACATATGCTTTTAAAATCTTACCAACAAAACAAATGCTTTTAAAATCTTACCAACTAAATAAATGCTTTCAAAATCTTACCAACAAAATAAATGCTTTTAAATCTTACCAACAAAACAAATGCTTTTGAAATCTTACCAACAAAACAAATGCTTTCGAAATCTTACCAACAAAATAAATGCTTTCGAAATCTTACCAACAAAACAAATGCTTTCAAAATCTTACCAACAAAACAAATGCTTTTGAAATCTTACCAACAAAACAAATGCTATCGAAATCTTACCAACAAAGGAGGCATTAGGGGCTGCCATCTGTATAAGGACAAGCTCCACCCAATAGACGTACTTGGTGTTAAAGGGAATGCCATATATGACCTTGACACTTGCTGGGCTGTAGTGGGTTACCAAGACTTTCAAAGCAAAAAGGACACCTACAAAATCATTATTAAATCATTAAAATTAAAACAATTTTTGGAAGCTAGGATGGCCCATGAAAGAGAAACTACCAATACGATACAAAAGTATGGCTAACTTATAAGAAATATGAAATTCTTTTTTAAAAACTCACCAGAAAATCCAACGGCACAGGACATAAGATAACTCTGCTGAATGTGACCCAGAAGAAGGCCAATCCCTACATAAGTGCTACTAGTCACAGCAGAGAACACAGCAATCAAATAAGCAAAGTACAAACTGCCAAAATATTTTTCTAGAAGGGTCCCTTTGTACAACAAACTCAGCATATTGAAGTAGAGGTGCATATCATCACCATGAACGAATGTTGATTTTATCATACGCATCCAGTCTTTGTGGTAGTATACTGAAAATACAGTTAGCAATTTTTAATACTTGTAGTATTTTGAATAACAAAAAAAAAGGTGTGTATTATCGGCTCTGAGGATTCCAAATATCAGATTACATCAGTCCATTTTTACAGGAGAGTCTGGAAGCCTTTTTATGTTTAATGTAAATTTAATCATTAGAGTAAAAGTAAAAAAAACCCATTAAACTGAATGTTGGTTCAGTAATGGAGTGGGTGCTTTTAAGCATATATAACAATTATTTTAATGAATTGTGGTTTTTGAAAGGACCAATAAGTTAAGTAATAACTTTTAGTAACTCTAATTTTAATTAAAAGTTAGTTGAGTAAGTGGGTGGGTATGCATTGTACTTTTGTATTTGTTTTCAAACAGGTGCCACGTTACAACAAAGATATCTGATTTTAAACAAATTTTAGGGGGGGGGGGGGGGGGGGGGAGAGCAAATTTTGAACAATAACTACAAGAAATTGATTTATAAAAATGAATGTACATACCTAAGTATGAACTTACACAGACGCTCATCGGTGATGGAAAATGCTGTGGGAAAAAGTCGAGAAAAATAGCGGTCTGCCCAGCCATCAATGCTAGAGTAACAGGTGGTATGTTTTTTACTCCATAGTTCATCACCTGGGTGCCAAGTAGCATAAGGCCCATATTATTTGGCCTTCTTCCGGACGACATTGTTTTTGTTCTACCTTTTACTTATCTGAAATAATAAAGAAGGGAATTTTTAAGCAGTGTTTTTTTATTCTTCTAACAGATAAGAAACAAATCATGTCAGCATTATGGAGTATGGAAGCTTTACCACTAAAAAGGCACAAAAAGAAAGAACCAGCTTGATTAAATTTACATTTTTAGAATAAATATTTTTACTGATGGTTTTATTTTTCATTTCTTAATTTTGAAATTCATACAAAGACATTATTGCATTATACAGATTTTTAATTAAACTTATAATACAATGATTTAAGAAGTAATATTGAGTAGAAAATTAAGTTATCATACAAGCAACCAATAACCTTAACTGTTTTTTTTAATTAAGAATTCACTTTATTAGGCCCCTAATCTATGTTATTTATTACATCCACACCCCACAGTCAAAAACTTATATAGGCTACACAAGTAAAAAAAAACCAACTAAAAACCCATCACAACAGTAGGCCAATTTTACCATTTTATTTTATCAACACTCCATATCCACTTCTTGTAACTGAGTAGTAATAGACTAGTACCATTATAACAGAAAGGATTGATCCATAAAAGATGTCACACTCCTAGGAAGGGCAGGTTTTGACTTAAATGACAGTATAAGACATAGGGGGGAGGTGAGATAATATTTCAAGTCAACCCTTTGAAAAAAATCCACAAATGGGCCTCAACCCACCTTTAGGCTTGCAACATTGAGTAAAAACAAACTCATAACAATAATAAAGACAATCCCAAAGAGGTCAGACCATAAGTGTTGTGTGTTCTCCCCTACTAAATATCATTAGCGATATTTAGGCCTAATTTAAGTATCTTCTTCTTCTTCTTCTTCGTTCTTAATTATTAGTGTTGAAGGGGATCGAGATTTATCTGCCAGTGCGTTTGAACTCGAGACTTTGTTCAAATTTATCAACCATGAGCTTTTTGCCGACTCGACCACGCCTCCAACACAATTAAGCGTTACGTGTCAACTGGTTATGCGCCATTGAGGCCATTGACTCCGATTTCAGCCTGCTTTTCTTTTTGGATTTGCTTCCATAGCCTTTGTCCAACCAAGAACAAACTACAAGGCAGCAGTTGTTTAATTTTGGAGTTGTCTCTCCTAGAAGAGTTGCTGTCCCCAACTAACGAGCCTCATCTGCCCGGGGGTTCGAACTCGAGACTTTTCGGTTTAGCAACCATGAGCTTTACCGACTCGACCACGCCGACCCCTTTTAAGTATCTAATTAGGCCTGATTATTGAGAGTACAAATTTGCTATTTTATTAATACTATATAGGCCTACTATATATTCTACTAGTCATTGGTACCTGTTACACATGAATTATTATTATAGTCCTTTCTATTTTAATGCTCTACTTACTAAGTACTACTTAGTAAGTAGAGCATTAAAATACATAGGCCTATAATAATAGTACTAGTACTTAGGCCTATGTCTTGACTCTTAACTTACTCTTAAGTGACATTCAGACTAACTACTCATCACTAGCTCTGCTGTTCTCTTAATTCTCTACCCTAGCCCGGACTAGCCGTTAGCCAAATAATACAAATAAAAACAAATTTTAGGACCTAGGCCTACAAAAATGGCTTACATTTTAATTTTATATTTAATTTTCAAATTAGGCCTAATTTTAAATTTTATTAAAATTTATTAAAATTAGGCCTAGTTAAAATTTTGGTAATCTATCGTTTTAGGTACGTAAAATCGCCCGCAGCTAGTAATGTACGAAAAAGTTACCTTATTGTCAAGGCTTTAATAGAAGTATATTGTGATATATTTGTGTCAAATATTATAGATAAATGAATAATAAACCTAAATCAATGGCTAAATATATCAATATAGGCAAGAAATTAACTTTAAACAGCACTGTTTGCTAGCAGGATTTGCTATATAAAAAGCGGCCATCTGTAAGTTAGAGTGGCTTCCCCTGAATCTTGCGCTATAAGTTTACAATTAAAAAAAAAAATAAAGAAGATGGCTGCTATAGTAAATGAACATGGTTACATCTGTTGGAAACATTGCTAGTCTTCATTTATTACTGAAAAGTTTTAATTCATTTGTTTAAAACCAGGTACATAAATGAAACAAGGAAACATTTAAATGGTAATTTATCGTTTTGGGTACGTAAAATCGCCCACTGCTATTAATGTATGAAAACGTTACCTCGTTGTCAAGGCTTTAATAGAAGTATATTGTCATATGTTTGTGTCAAATATTATAGATAAATGAATAATAAACCTAAATCAATGGCTAAATATATCTATATAGGCCAGAATTTAACTTTAAACAGCAGTGTCTGATAGCAAGATTTGCTATATAAACAGCAGCCATTTGTAAAATAGGGTGGCTTCCCCCTGAATCTGGCGCTATAAGCTTATAAAAGTAAAACTTGGACAAGATGGCTGCTATAGTAAACGAGAAAAATGGCCCGTTGAGGAGGATACACCGGGCGCTAGGTTGATAGTGCTGTCTCTTTTCTCTAAACTAAAACCAACCCACCCCCCACACACACCACCCCCACCCCCACCCCTCCCACCCCCACCCACCCCACACACCACCCCCCCCCCAACCCCCACCCCACCCCCCACCCCCACCCCCAAAAAAGCATGTCTACCGTCCCATTCAACGAAATATAATTATATACTTTTTTCAGTGTCCGCCCCCTCCCCGAAAACTCTACCCCCGCCCCCGAAAATTTCAAGTACCCCCACCCCTCTCCGGGGAGGAAAAAGTCTGAAAGAAACACTGGTGTCGCGCTTAGCCACTACGCGAAGAATTGCATTAAAGAAATTGCGAGAAAACAACTTTTTAGATTAGACACATTAATTAGGCGGTAATTTTATTACAGAGTATCGATGAGGAAACCACCCCACCCCACCCCCCCCCCCACACACACACCACCCCCACACCCCCACCCCCACTCCCAAAAAAAACATGATGTCTACCGTCCCATTCAACGAAATATAATTATATACTTTTTCCAGTGTCCGCCCCCCTCCCCGAAAATTCTACCCCCGCCCCCGAAAATTTTAAGTACCCCCACCCCTTTCCGGGGAGGAAAAAGTCTGAAAGAAACACTGGTGTCGCGCTTAGCCACTACCCGAAGAATTGCATTAATGAAATTGCAAGAAAACCACTTTTTAGATTAGACACATTAATTAGGCGGTAATTTTATTATAGAGTATCGATGAAGAAATTTCTTTTGAGTTGGGGAGGGGGGGGGGGCTCAGACGTTCTTACGCGTGGGGTGGGGCTTCGCCCCTACCCGAAGAATTGTATGCAAGAAACTCTTCACGCAAACCATTTAGATTAGACAACATTTCCTTTTTATTCAATGTTTACGCGATAATCAATGACGTCATTATATTACTGTGTGCACTTTCCGCCTTGAGATTATTTTCAACTCCATGCTAAATGTGTCGACGTCATACTTCGTCTTTCGTTTCACTGTGAGAGTTTTTAATTTCCTAGTGTTTTCTCTAGAGCGTTCTTGTCAGAGCGTTCTTGTCAGATACATACATACATACATACATACACAGACAGCGAAACTATTATTATAGATGAGCATGGTTGCATCTGTTGGAAACATCGCTAGTCTTCATTTATTATGGAAAAGTTTTAATTCAATTGTTTAAAAAAAACAGGTACATAAATGAAACAAGGAAACATTTTTGTATTTTAAAAAACATAAATCCTCCTCAAAATGTGAAATAATTATTAAAATTTAAGGAGTCACCTGTTTTTCACATTACTAAGTTCTAGATCTAGATCTAGTCGCGGGCTATTTTACGTAGATCTACCTAAAACGATAGATTAGATTACCAATTGAAAATTTTTAACTGGCAAAAAATAAAAAAGCTTTACAAGGAGAGGTTTTTTTCACTCTAATGTCTATTCAAAAGTTATTTTTCCTCATTTCAGAATTAATTTAAAATTAGATAGCTAGGCCTATGCATACGTTTTAGTTTTAGCAATGTCTAGAGTCTCGTTTCTAGTTCTAATTTGAATAATTTCGGTAATTTTATTTAGCTGAGTTGTGGTTTGTTTACTTTTGGCAGATGGAGGCTGACATATTGTGACGGAAGTTTCAGAAGGACCAATCAGACTTCTTTTCACACGTATACTTGTTTGAGTGTAAAAACATGATCACATAATCTAGATCTATTCTTTTTTAATTAACAAAACAATTTAAAGTTTCGTTAGAACATGAATATAAAAAACTAAAAGAAATATTTTTTTTTAATGTTTGGATTTTAAAGGCCTAGAACTAAATGTATAACTAAATTTAGACATTTAACTTACATTTATTTGGTAAACTAGATCTAGATATCTAGTTTAGATTCTACGACACGTAAACGATCTCAAGCCTCGAATTCGTCCTGACTGACATTTAATGAAAATGATGATAGATCTAGATCTAGATTCTAGATCTCTTCTATCTAGAATCTTTTCTAGATAAATGCTATTTTAACTGCCGTGATCGATTCTCCTTAACTAACCCTAGTATCAATGATATTGGCTGTGAAACAAAAGGTTTAAGTCACATCCATTGCGTTTCATCAAATTTAGCTTGTTGTCTGCCTCTTTTTGACCATCGTGATTCGTGATGTTTCAGTGTACAATTATTTTAATCTACAACACTTTTTTACACCTCTGGTGTGCAACTTTAATATTAAACATTCTAAAGATTCATTAGAAAAATAGGCCTATTAGCCTAATAAAAAGGAAGTGGCTATTGGGACCCGGGTCCTAATAGCCTCGGCCGCTATTGGGACCCGGCATTAAGTTCGTTAAGCACTTGCACAACCTGTATTAAAATTATACCTTTTATATTTATTTGATTTTTCTTGTGGATTTGCTCGTATTTTGTTGTCTTTTATTGTAATTAGTTACGCGGATTATCTAGCATTAGTTCTTGTGTTGCTATTTCTTAATACCCTATATTTAGCTGTATATACAAAATCATTAAATACTTAATAGTTATTGTAAGACGTCGTGGCCGAGTGGAGAACGCAGTACCTCACGAATCTCGATCAGCTACGGGATCGAAACCTTCTAAAGCTCTCGATTTTGCGTGAAGTAAGTGTATTTATCTAAGTTTTACAATTCAATTGAGTTATTTGCGTAAGTGTCTTATTTAATTATTTTTTTTAAATAGATTTTTTTTTCTAGATTTAGGTTTTTAAACACGTCAATTATAAACATCGTTGCTCCATTGATCGCCCGCTCACGTTTTCTGGTCAGCGCAAGAAAAATACCGACACGGTCTGGCCAGGTCACTGTGAGTTCACTTTGGTTTAGGAACAGTGTAGGCGTAAAGCATGCGTCATAGCAAGACCAATGCTATGAGCTTGTCCTTGTCGAGATTTGTCGTCGTCGTAGTCCCCCCCCCCCCCCCCCCCCCCTCTCAGCCCAGCAAGAGGGGAAACAAGAATTTGGGGTCATTATGAGTTCAAATGTTACAGATTGCTTCTATTAAAGCGTACTACAACGCATGTGAGATATCCGTGTTCAAGAAAACGAGCCCGGGAGCTGTAGTCTGCAGCCTGTATGAGCTATCTTAAATTATATTATACGAGCCGGCCCGCGGCATAAAATACGCCGCTATTTAGTTGTTTCTAATTTTCAATAATTCATAATTTGTGAATTCGACAGTACCAACGCTGACACTGAAAATATTTCTTTAAAACACTATAAGTAGCTCGTTAAGGACCATAACCCCCCCCTTTCCTTCCCCCCCCCCCCCCCTCCCCCCCCCCTACGTTTAAAATCGTTGGCTCTGCTTGTAAACATTTAGAGTGAACACAGCTCACTAAAACCATGTAGGGGTGGGGAGGTAGGGAGAGCGTTTGCAGCTTGTTTTCTAACGGCTCGAAGAAGAGAATTATATATATAGACATATATATATATATATATATAGATTTATATATATATATATATATATATATATATATATATATATATATATATATATATATATATATATATATATATATATATATATATATATATATATATGGACAGATAGACCTATGAAATCAAATTACGTTTAACAGAAGAAAAAATAAATAAAACACATTTTTACATGCGCGCTCAACATTCGCTCGGCCATAGAAGTTCATACCATAGGCCATAATTACGTCATAGACCTAACGATACCCGCTCATCAAAACATTTGTCAGTAATGATATCGGGTATTTAAAGCAAGATCGCAATACACCATTTACAATTACAAGAAAAAAAATCACAACAAAAAAGATACTCTGCATCTTAAAAGAATTTTTGTATAACTAAATCTTTACAATTCTATTGGCTGGTCCCAATAGCGGCCGAGGCTATTAGGACCCGGGTCCCAATAGCGGCTGAGGCTATTGGGACCCGGGTCCTAATAGATGCATCCTAATAAAAATGTTAAGATTTAAGATTGCAAGCTTTTGGTTATGCAATAAAGAAGAAAATAAATGGGTTTTTTTTAAATATGTTAATGCACCACTATTTATACTATTATAAAGAAGAGCGAAGGTATGTATATTAAATAGTAAATACCAAAACGCGAATTTAAATTATCCAACCTAGGCCCTGAAAAAAAATATCAGTTTTTTCGTTGTAAGGGAAACAACTCAATTAACGTATTCAGTTAATTCAACCTAGCTTCGTTACTTCCCCTGAAGAGAGAATTGAAGCAACATTGTAATGTAACTTGCTGGTCATCTAAAATATGCTGTAATTTTATTTTTTATTTTAAAAGCCTGATGGCCCAAATGCACACATGAAATAAGCGTGGCAATTATGATCGTTCCCATTTAAAAGTATAAAATGGCAGTTAAATTTTAGAGGGGGGGGGGGGGGGGGGGGGCGTGCATGAAGTAAGCGTGGCAATTATGATCGTTCCCATTTAAAAGTATAAAATGGCAGTTAAATTTTAGAGGGGGGGGGGGGGGGCGTGCACTTATCTAGAATTTTAGGAAGCTGATCTTACAACGCTACACGTTGTTGATATGGTCGAGCCCCTAACAACCAGTTTCAGTACATATCTCAGCTGACTAACCATCGATTCACAAACTGTCTAGACAATTCTGGAGGGATCGGGGCTAAATAATCGGCCGCTTACTGCTTGAGGTTAGGGGGATATGATTATCATGGCCACCCACAGTATAAGACAATATCGTATGCTTTCCAAGCTATTTTAATTACTTAGGGTCGTCCATAAATGACGTCCCACTCGTAGGGGGAGGGGGTCCGTAATTTTGTGACGGTGTGTGATAAGTGGGAGGGGGGGGGGGGGGGGTTCAGATGGTGTGACGTCACACTTTTGCATTATAAAAGCAATGTTAAAAACCAGTTTTTTAGCCTTTATTTCGCGTTTTAGAAAACTGTTTTAATAAATTATAATAGGAATTGACTAAAATACTCTATGTTGACAAGATTTTGGAAAAATATCGATGTTTTAAGAAAAATTCAACTGCAATTACGAGATAGTTGTAGGATGACATGTGACATGATTTTAGGGGGGGGGGTCTGGATTTGTGTGACGCTGTGTGATGGAGGGGAGGGGGGAGGTAAAAATCGTCTTAAAAAGTGTGACGTCATTTATGGATGACCCCCTACACTCAATAGAATACTATATGTGAGTTTACATTACATATGTCATATGTTACATTACCCCTTAATTGGTTATAAGTATTAAGAAAACATAATCCAACAAAATTGAGAATGAACTTCATAATTAGGTGGGTTTTTTAAAACCTGGATATTGAGTCATGTAAGTTGAACCTTTTTACTTTTATCTCCACGCTGAATTACTCAAGTAGTCCCAGATTAATATCAATTACAAAAAAATATAATAAAGCTAAAACAAAAACCATTGTTAAATCGAAAAATTTATTAATTAAAAAGAAATATGTATATATCACTAGAAACAGCCAGATTGCATGTTATTCAAATCTAAAAAATGTAATTTAAAACAAATGGGTCTACAAATTACATTTCGTAACCAACAATGACATTTTAAGCAAATATAACCAAATAAAACATTTGCGTCTACGTTTCGTCATGAAATCAAATAGGCAAATATTAATCACTACCAATAATAGTACCATTCTTTATATTAGTGTGCTTCAAAATATTTAAAGTTTGGCCATTTTTTGGAATTTGTTTGACATTATAAACACATAAGTTTCTTAAAACCACATAGCTGATGGCTAAATTTCACATTTGCATTACAAAGAAATGCAGAATAACTTATAATGCTGAAACATTTAAAAAATATACATAACAATTCATAACATTATTTACAGAAAAGGGGGGTAACTCGACAAAAAAGCGTTGCCGACATTTTTTAAATATTACATTAATTATACAGTCAATGTTTCAAGACATCAAGCTTCAACTATATATCAATATTTAGTAGATTACGTAGATTACATTGTAGATTACGTAAAATGAAATATGTGACATTAATAATTGTTATAATTATTTATTTGCGATTGCATGTGGAATTATTTTAAACCCCCAGTTTAAACTTTATGTTTGCCTTACAGTGTGATGAGAAAAAGTTGGTGCAAGAGGATCTAGAATAGGGCAGTACTGGTGAAGTTTAGAAAACTCTGTCCATCCATCCTTCACGCTTGGGAGCTCAAATTATGCTACAATTAGAAAATAATTTGCGAAAAGTTAATGCGCTGTTTAGTAAACGAAAGACACAAGATTTTTTAAAAAGGAAAAAGTAATTGGTTAAGTAATAAAGCAACATTTTTAGAAATGAAATATTTGTAGAAAAAATTATGTTAGACACAAAAACATAATTTTAATATTCGAATTATCGCATAATAGAAAAAAAACAATTCAAATGTCAAATTGAGAAGTTATCTCCCTTGGTTTTGGAATATTAGACTTTTTTGTGTTTTATTAAAGTATATCATATCATGTATATGATTTTCTGTATTAAAAGATGCAGAATACATATCTATGCTGGTAAATGTCGAAACAGGGGCGTAGCGAGGTGGGGGGGGGGGGGGCGGGGGGGTGCGGACCGCACGGGTGACACCATTTAGGGGGGTGACACCAAGGCAAAAAATAGCAAAATATATAGAGAAAAACTTGAGGGGGGGGGTGCAAATCGAAAGTTTGATGGGGGGGTGCAAATCGAAAACTTGAAATTTTGTCCCCGGGAAGGGGTCGCTACGTCTCTGGGGGGTGACACCATTAAGTGCCCGCACCGGGTGACACCCGACCTCGCTACGCCACTGTGTCGAAAGTCTGGGTTATCGAATGTATGGGGCGGGGTTAGAGAGACGAAAACTGGGCTACAGCTTGAACTCCGGGAATTTAGAAAAATTTACTTTTTTTGATGGACAGTCGGCGTTTTCCTATGTTATTGTGGGGGACTTTGTGTTTGTCGAAAAAAGCAGAAAAATTTAAATTTAGCTGACAGCCCAACTGATTAAAAAAACAACTAGCATAGTTTCGGATGCTAATTACGTACTCAAAAAGACTCAAATATTTACCTTTTAAAAAAAATCTGTAGAAACGTTGGAGGCAGACACACACAAAAAATTGATCCATGA